AAGGTCTAAAGGGAGTTGTTTGAGGCGATGGTGAGACTTATAAAGGAAGTAAAATGGAGGCAAATAAGAGAGCCAGAAGGGTTAGGTGTGTGGAGAGCGAGGATGAGACCATTTTTGGAATTTATTATTTCCTATTTTTTTCTTTTTGGCGGGCTTTAGTGTTATAAGGAGTGCATGCGTTCATCGTGACGGTGAAATGGTGGAAGAAGGCAATGATATATCTAGTCAAATTTCAGTTTAGGCATCTAGTCTTATTGGCATGAAGTTTTTCTTCATCCACTAAAGTTTAGGCATTGTTTTCTCCACACGAATAGTCACCCCCACAAATGGTTGTTAGCGTTGAGATGGAGGAAGAAAACAAAGATCTAGAAAAGCCAAGAGTAGAGAAATACAATAAAGAGAACTTATTTTATCATCAACGTCAGTATTATGGTGCAACCATGCATGCACCTCTTTGAAATCATAAAAAAGATTTTCTTCAATTGTTTGAAAAAGACAGGGAAAACACCTTTTTGATGAGATTGAATCTGCAAAGATAAAAAGATGAGTAAACACTACCTTTTAAGCTATGTAAAGCACAGCTACAGTTGTGATGATATGGGCGGCACTCTACATCCATTTCTTGCATCAATATGATTCATTCAGGACACATCGAAGTTGCAACTGCTCCGGTGGCAATTTTTCGATCTCTCTCCCCCTTTTCTTCTCAACCTCCTCGTCAAGAATTGTTATATATGTATGAAAAAAGAAGGAAGAAGTTGATTCTAGGTGTTTGGTGTGGTCCTTTAAATGCTGAGAAAAGAAGATGGCTTATTATAATGGTTTAGCTTTTGTGGATTTGAAAACAGTTACTATGGAAGGGTAGAAGAAGACATACAACTATCTTACGTGGAAAAAATAGTGCCAAATCATATTATTAATGTGCCACATCAGCATTCTGTTCATCCCGCTAACGACTGTTAACGTTGAGTGACCATTTGTTACAAATCAATAACATTAGTGATTTATCTGTAACTTTTGAAAATTTGGTGGGGAAAACAAAACTTACTCAAACTTTAGTGATCATTCGTCTAGTTTACCCTAATTTAAATCAAACTTTATTTTGAAAAGCAAATATTATTTTGGGAAAAATTAAAAAATAGTCTCTAATATTTTAATAAAGTTACATTTTAATCACTAATGTTTGAAAAATTAAATGGTTAAACTACACATTTAATACCTCAACTATCACTTTTGTTCTGTTATTGTCACCTAACTATTTTTTTTGTTTCACAATTATACCTAACATTGTGTTTTTGTTTCATTACAATCGTCTACTTACTGATGTGTCACCATAAGGTAATCTCATGTCATCATTGATTTTTTTTTTAAATGTCACATTAATAATTTTATTTTTCTTAATGACGGATGACCCAAATAAAATCAAACCGTAAAGTTAAGTACGATTTTGAAATAAAAAACAGTTAAGTGATAAATGGAAAAAAAAAAGTGATAGTTGGAATAGTTTATCCAAAATTATAACAAGAGAGCGATATTGATTTAGCACGGTACGATTACTTAGTTGTTACCGATGTAAATAACATGAATTTGGAGAATTTGCTCGTCCCTAGTGACATAGAATTTTATGTTAAGGGTTACGAAGTTATAAAATTTTAAGGGATGAAAATAAATTTTTAATAGAAAATATAAAAAATATGTAAAATATAAAAAGAATTTAATTTTTTTTAAAAGTCGGTCCTCCAACTCGCCCTCCAGGTCCTCCCTGTCATATCATTAGATTTCTAGCAATGAAATGCTCAATGAGTGCTGGAACAATGAAACAAACACATGAGAATTTGGAAAAATGAACAAAATTTACAACAAAGATCAAATTAACATATGCATTTCTTACAGTCTTCCATTCTCCACCAGGTCCAAAGTACGAAAGCTTCTGCAGAATCACCGGGCGTAACATAGCACCATAAATTTACAGTTCCTAACGGAAGCTGCCATTGTCATACTTCCAGGCAGTCCTTAACCCCTTGCTCAAATTTGTCAAGAGAAGTTAAGGTATCGTTGAGTGCATCTGCAACCCTTTGTCTGTGGAAAGAAAGAAATACAAGTAGTTGACAACTGCGTTATCAGGTGACGGTAAAAGTAGGCCTGGTAGTTTTGAATATGTGAGCGGGCGTATAATTAAAACATGCCATAAATCAAAACTCTGCATGAAAGAGTATTGCGAAAGAATACCTGTTGGAAGCAACTTGAATATCCCTTTCGCTTGCCAAACTATTAAGTGAGGTAAATGAGCTGCAAATGAAAGAAAAATAACAATAATAATTAACAACGTAAGCAGGAAAACAAATTACGGTGGGATAATTTTGAATCCAACATGCATTGGATCTTAGGGTGACCTAAGGAAAATTATTAGAAATACTTCAAAATTATATGGATATCAATGTTCTTCCAACAAACACCCAAAAAAGAAACATGCTACAATGAATGCAGAGAAAGAACATCATCGTTGGCCAAACTATGAAGGTAAATTAGCTGCCAAGAAAGAAGAATAACAATAGGCATCTGGCAGGCATTGGATCTTAGGAAGACTTGAGGAAATGATAAAAAAGTGCTTAAAGTTTATCTGGATATCCATGTTCTTCCAAAACCACCCAAAAAGCAAAACAGGCTACAATGCATGCAGAGAAAGATATTCCTTTGCCAAAATATTAAGTGAGGTCAACAAGCTGCCGAAGAAATAACAATAAGCATCAACAAACTATGGATGTTAAAGAATGACGGCAGTAAAACAAATTTGCGCTTGACAGGAAAACACTTGAAGGGGGATAATTCTGAGTCAAAAAAGGCATTGGGATCTTAGGGAGACCCAAGGAAAATGACCCAAAGTGCTTTAAAATAATCTTGATATCTAGTTCTTCCAACAATCACCCAAAAAGCAAAACATGCTGCAGTGTATGCAGAGAAAGAAACTTTGTCGTCATTTCCTTCAATATTTATAGCAAATCAACAGCCAGAATTGAAGCTAAAAATTAATCAAGCTTAAAAGGACCATAAAGCAGATACCTTATAAGATCATCTAGCATAGCTTCAGCTTCCAGCTTAACAGGATTCTTCTTCTCAAGCAAAGAAGAAGCATTATTCACAATCAAACGGAATGTGCAAACCTGTCAATTATAGAAATTCGAACTACTAAATTATAACCCAAAGTGGGGAATTCATTTCCACCTCTCTGATTTTGTTTTAACTTCACATTTTAGTGAACAAAAAGCCTAAAAAAATTTCACTAAGAATCAATGGATGCGTAAGAAATTTCGATTTTCATTCTAAGAACAAGAACAAACCTCGACTCCGGTGTTGGCTTGAAATGCAACAAAGGAATTCCTCTCTTGTACAACACAATCCCTAGCGGCAGATGTCAAGAGCTTTTGAACATCCTCTAAATCCTTACTCGAATTAGTTGATTCCTTGTCCGCTATTCTCAAAAGTATCAAAACGACCAAAATTAGTCAAAGAAACACAACAAACACATTCACATAATTACAGGAGAAAAGGGACGATAAACAGAAATGTGATGTACTGAGCAAAAGATAAGCGGAACGAAGGTTTTGTCGAGAAGCATCGATTGGGGCCAACAGGAATTTCGAAGACTTCCTCTTTTGCTCTTTAAGCCAATCCTTTGGTCCTGCTGCGAATAGCAATAAACACTCAAAACAGCAGTTAATAAAAGAAGAAAAAAATCAATAAACAAAAGAAAGTGAGAATTGCTCACAAATTCCAATGGAGAAGGCAGAAGCTTGAGAGGGATGAAAGAGAGAAGTAAGAAGAGAGATTGAGGAGAGAAAAGAAGCGTCTCTGCGGGAGAATTGGATTTGATTTTGAAGATGGCGTTGCAGTTTCTGTCGAGTCTCTTGATTGGGGTTGACGGGGAGCTTTTGAATTGAAATGGAAGGTTTAGGAAGAATTGGCGGGAGACCGGCGACGGTTGACACGGAGGCGCTAGAGATAATGCGGACCATAGGTGGCGGCATCGCTGATGCAGTAAGGACTACTGTACTTTCAAGTAAACGGATAATTTTAACGGCCTTCACGAGTCGATTAAACTTGATGAACTTTATACTAAAAATGAGTATAAACTACATAATCGTCCCTGATTTCATAGAGTGCTTTCATTTTGGTCAAATATTTTAAAATTTATAATACAATTATTGAATATTTAATTCATTTCCATTACAATTATTTTTATTAGTTACCATAAAAAAAATTAACGTGACACGCTATAATCTTTTTCTTTAAAAATATTCTAAAGTCTTCTTTCAAATTTACAACTGAAAATCATTTTTTGTATATGTTATTATCAATCAACTTTCTTCTAATCATCGTCACAACTAAATATAACATTATATATGATTTTGAAAAAAATAAAAGTTAATGACCAAATATATATATATATATATATATATATATGTGTGTGTGTGTGTGTGAGAATAACTAAATAGATAGTTTAGCTAAAAAAGAAAATCTCTTTTCGTATGTGTTTTCATCGATCAACGTTCTTCTAATCATCGCCATAACTAAATACACAACACACCATAGTCAAGCGTTTCACCATATTCTCACTAATTTCATACCATTCATCGCCAAAACAAAAACTAAATGTTATATTAGATATAATTTCTTTTAAAATAGTCTAAGGTGATCATAAAATAATATCTGTTTAAAATATTTCTTAAACATTACACATACTAACATATAAAATTACCTGATGAGCTCAACATTAAATATAATTTTAAAAGAGATAAATTTTAAAAATATATATATTCCCATCAGCATCTGCCGTTCATCACTAAAATAGAAACTAAACGTAATATAAAAATATAATTTTGAGAAAAGTAATAGTTGATTACCAAAAGAAAATTACAAAACTAGATGAGTGGTTAAATATGCAGTTTAGCCTAGAATAAATGAGTCGCTAACTACAAGAGTCAAGATCCGGTCTGGAAAAGGCGAAGCTCGTGATAGAACGGGAAGTAAAACCCTAGAAAAAAGATAGGAGAATAACCTAATCCCCAGATTGATCAATTGGACGATCCAATCTTTCACATTTCGGTACTGGTACAACCCTTTATAACTACTGAAAACACTCCCTAGTTTCCCCCGCCCCCCACTATTCTCTTTGACCAATTCATGGCTTTTGTGTTCTTAAGTAATTAGGCAATTTATTTTCTCTCTTCTTAACATTTGATGAAAACATATTTATCTGATTTTTCTACCCGGTGTATCTGAATTGCAAATATCAGATATGTTTAACATTGCAACGACGTTCTGCAAAAGGTTAAGCGTGAAGGAGCTTGTTACCAGCGCTCCTGTGTACGGCACAATCACGGGTATTCTTCAATGAAATGGGTTGTCTTGTTCGCTTTTAGTATTTTGTGAGTTCTTTTCAGCTAATTTCATGAAATGATTTTCCATTTTTTGTGGCTTAGATGAGTCTTCATCCAGCTTAAGTTTGATGCTTAAGAGGTGGGCTAGTAAAAAAACTGCTGGATCAACTAAGAATGGAAGAGACTCAAAACCCAAGAATCTTGGGGTGAAGAAGTTTGGCGGTGAGGTCAGTGGGTGATCCAGATTCAAATGCTTCAAATTTTAGTAATAGTAGATATTAATATGATATGATATTATACTATTGTTGACATTATTGTGGCAGAGGGTGATTCCTGGAAACATTATAGTTCGCCAGCGAGGAACTCGGTTCCATCCCGGAAACTATGTCGGGATCGGTAAAGATCACACCCTCTATGCTCTCAAGGAAGGTTGTGTGAAATTTGAGACACATAAGCTTAGCGGGCGCAAATGGGTACATATTGAGCCCAAGGAAGGACATGTCCTTCACCCTCTTTATGCAACTGATGCTGCAGGAGAGCCGAAGATGGCCACATAAGGTTTGCTCCATAGTTTATTTAGGGAATCAAGGTTGTGTGTTCCGTGATGATCTTGGATATTTGACTATCAATTGTATGAGGATTTTCGGAGATGCAAATTAAAAGAACCATGAGTTTTACTCTCCCATGTTTTGATTATCACATGGTTCTTGTTTCAGTTTTTTTGGGTATTCATCTCTTTTGAATAATTAATCTTTCAATGTTCTTTTAATGGACTGGAGTTATTGTGATGCAAGTGGTTTATGCTAGGAATTTACTTGCTACTGAAAAAAATGTAAACATTTTGACATAACCTTTTACAATTTTGCACTCTACATGTTCAGATATGTGAGAAATTGCCATTTACAATGAAAATTTTCTGCCGCTTGTAACAATTGACAGCAAACAAGCTTTTGAGTTTTGAATATATGAAAGAATCTTGCTGGATACAATCGGAGCTCTCAATTGCTTCTTCATGGTTGTGCTCCACCATTTCATTGAGCCAATCACATCGGATTGCCTGCTGACTGCTAGTTTCCCTTTAAAATAGCTTCAGAGCTCAAAGGGCGCACAACTACAAAAAACTGTTGAAATACAATGGTTGAGCAGGCACTTAAAACAGTTGGGGTTAACAGCAAACATTCTTTTCGGCTAGTTCTTGTCTAAAGACTCGGTGTCCTGTGTTTCTGGTTTGGGGAAAACTTCATTTGACAACTTTTTACGTGAATAAGTGTGTTCAATTCCCTCACTGCCATAGGAGCCTACTCTACCTGACAGCCAAAAACCACTAAAACCCTCTGTTTTGGTGGCCTGGAATGGTGGCACTTCCTGATGAGGTCTGTCGCCAACTACCAAATAAGGCTGAACTCCAAGATCGACTAGACGATGTTGTTCTTAGCCTTCCGGAGCTGAAACTCTCATCCCTTACTACTTTCAAAGGGTTTTCCAATGCCTTAAGAACATGTTTCATCGAGAGTCGTTTAGAAGGCTTCGGGTTAAGGCATGACCTTGCCAGTTGCCACGATTGCCATGGCCCATACCACCTCTAATAGATCATCTTCTACTATCAAGGATGGATCCATGATCTTAGTCACCAATTCCTTTTCGTATTTACTAATGCAAGTCAGGGTTTGCTCAAGCCACTCCTTTGTAGATTAATCTTCTGCTTTACCAATGCCAAACTTACCTGTTATAAGCTCGAGTAATACCTTCCTGAATCAGTACACATCGTACGCACAATTAACAATTAGTCAAATAAGATTCAGTCCATTTCCAAACACATAAGCATTATAGTTTTCTTTCCAACCTGCAACTGAAAAACACTAAATAAACAGAGATAACAGTTGGTCCGAAAAATCTACAGTTTAAACTATCAAGCTTCAATAATGGGAACAAGTAATGGATGTCATCTTTGAACATGTGAATGATATTAAGTGCTTTACATTTCAGTCAAGTGAACCAATTCAAGCAAGGCTGACATATAGAACTAGGGTTATTAACAACCATGTGATCGAATTTTACGCACTTGAACCCGAAGGGCCTCGCTCGGAGGTCCTACACATCACAGAAAGAAAAAAAAATCATATTATAGCACAGAAAATATATATAAAATAACAGAAAGAAACTTGATGAACACGTTATCAATGGATAATTCAAATGATCTACAAGTATTACTGGCGCTACGAAGAAAAAAGGTGGGATTCTAAAGTTTTGTTACATATGCTAAGCTCTTTTCATTCATTGCCTATTTCAGCAATATCAATGTTGAATTAACTATGTTGAAGTAGATTGCACAGCAGTATGACACCGAAGGCTTTCGTTACAAGGCGAACGGCCATACAAGCAATTTTCTACGAGCGACATATAATACTTACTGCAGTTTCCAGAGCAATCTTCTGAGAACATTTTGGTGTGTATCTCCTTCCTGGGGCCGAACTCCACTCAAGCTTCCGAGTCTCACTTCGAATTTATCATCAAGAAGAATACTGTTTGCTTGAACATCCCTTCAACCACCAAACGTAATATAGCAAACAATTGAGGCTATTGAAAAGGTAATCATATTGTGAAAAGTTACAAAAACAAGATTAACAAAAAGGCAACATGAGTAACTAAAAGAGAGCTGAAGTAGCAAAAAGCATTGATTATTAACTATTATTACACATAAAAGAGAATTGAAGTTGCTAAAAGCGTGTTCCTAAATACCTGTGAACAAGGGAAGGGTTGCATTCATGGTGCAAATGGAATAGGCCTTCAGCAGCTCCCGTAGCTACTTTTAACCTTGTAATCCAATCCAGCGACTGTAGGCTATCATCGTCTGAATTGCTAGCCCCGTAAAAGGAATTGGCTAAATCTCGATTTGGCATATATTTGTAAAATAAAAGCTTGTCACTTTCATGCTCCAAGCAGTGCCCCAGGAGCGGAATGGAACTCGGGTGAGAAAGCTTTCTAAATAAATCCAATTCCATCATGTAAGATTCGTTCTTTAAAGAACTCATATTGATCCTTTTGATGACCACGGGGATCCCACCTTCTAAGATACCACGAAATAGGTCGCCGGAGTGGCCTTGCAGCCCTTCCTTAATCAGATTCGTCTCACTGAAATTATTGGTCGCGAGGAGCAACTGCTCATATGTAAATCGGTCTCCAGAACCAGCTAAGTTTGTAGGATCTTTCGGATGTTGAGGACTATCTCCTTCCGGAACAGGCCCGACATCCGCACTTCCTCTTTGATTTCCAATGCCCTTATTACATATCAAGATGAGTACAAGCACCAGAACCAAAACTACAATGAAACCAAGTCCACCAACTCAAATCCGCACTACCTTTGTTTCGTATCCTGAAGGCAATTCTTGTCGATACTACCATTCCTTTCAACGCCATTAACAGCCTTGCCTTGAAAATAGTTGCCAGAGAGATCAATGAATCTGAACATCCCAAGTGAAAAATTCAAAGTTCCATAAAAGAAATTGTTCGACAGATTGAACACGGCAGCAGTGGCAAAACTAGTATTAGAACGAAAACCGGAAAAGGACCTGTAAAATTGTTGTTTGATACATCAAGGGACTGCAATTTAGGCATTGACCAAATTGCAGCATTCAGAACACCATCAAGCTTATTCCTACTCAAATTCACAACTTGCAGCTCAACAAGACTCGAAAACAAATCGACCCGCATCCGCCATTATCATCTTTGTTAAACTCCTCAACATCTTTATTTCCTCAGACATTGAACCAGACAAAGAATTCTTACTAAGATCAAGCTCAACCAACCTTGAAAGATTACAAAACTGAACAGGAATTGAACCAGAAAGATTATTATCTGAAACAGTAAACACTTGAAGACCTTGTAAAGAGCCTAAACTAGGTGGAATTGACCCAGGTAGGAAATTTGAAGCAAGTTCAAGCCTTTCAATGTTCCCAAAAAACCCAAAGCTTCAAGGAATTAATCCAGTGAGCGAATTAACAGAAAGATCAAGAATTTTTAAATTCCTCAACTTTCCCAATGTAGCAGGAATCGAACCAGCAAGATTGTTATCAAGAATTAACCGAGCCACGACGAGTCCGCTTTTATGGGCCAATCTTTGCCTCGGAGACCTAGAGATGCGCGGAGATCCAGCAATGCCCGCCGTTCGATTGGAGAACTTATCCGGAATTTCTGAGCCGCCGCGCACTGGATCAAGAGCAAGATTACAGCTAACAAGAAGATTGATAATCCACTTCCTTGAGCTTCCATTGATAATGTGAAGCTGATGCTGATGAACTTCAATGGAGGCTAAGTCTCTTACTCATCTTCTTTCTAAAAAAATTAAAAATAAATAAATAAAAAATATTAATGGAGGCTAAGTCTCTTACTCATCTTCTTTCTAAAAAAATTAAAAATAAATAAATAAAAAATATTTACAAGAATATAAAAAGAGAAAAAAGAAAAGAAAAACTGGTAGTTTCTGATGTTTGACCATTACCATCAAAGAGCTCTCTTTCACTAATATGTACATTTTAATGTTCATAAAAAGGTAACTCAATACTCGATAAATAAAAAGAATATTTATTTATTATCTATAAAAAATAAAAATATATTTGCATTCGATGTTGTTCCTTGGTTACCGCCAATCCAGAATTAATAATTTAAGCTGATAAAAGAAAATTGAATTCAACTTCATGTATTGAATCCAAACAAACCAACAACAACAACAACGCTAATCTTGAGGTTTAAGCTAGCAAACCAAAAAGAATTCTTGTTTGTTTCTCGAGAAAAAGAAAGGAAATGAATGATGACACGGGGTTTTAAGGGAGGAGGGGTCAAGTGACATTAATGAGGAAGTGTTTGTTTGCCCAACCGCCGGGCTTTTCAGCTAACACTGTGTTAGTTTACTATTTAGTGAACCTCTGCCGTTTCAAAAATTTGTTATTATTCCTACTGACTCAGTGGAGCCAAACTCAGAGCTTCTCCAATGGCGGTAACATGGAGTTCCATAGCTGGTTCATTGACTTGGAAACTATCAGAAGAAAGGTGCAGTTGCTTGTCAAAACCCACGCTATTATTTTATAGGGTAAATTACAAATTTAATAACTCAACTTTCTTATTACTCATGTTTTAATTACTATATTTTAAAAATCTTCAATTTAATTAAGATTTGATCATTTTCATTTTTATTTAGTTATGATGTGGTAAGTGAGAGTAACTGTAATTAAACCTTTAACAGTTTACTGACGTATTATAGTGAATTTATAAAATCAAAAAGGGTAAACTACACAAATGATCACTAATATATGGGTAAATTTTTATTTTTCACATTGAAGTTTTAAAAATAAAAAATTGACCACTAAAACATCATATATGTAATTAAGCAATGATTTTATATATAGTTTATTCCAAAAGCTTTCTAATTTTTTTGATATCATTCAAAATATTCAATTGATTCATGTCCAAAAAAGTTATTTTCTAAGTTTTATTTTTAATATATATATATATATATTCCTTTCTAAGAAAGATTTACTCACATCAGATATCTTTTACTATTTAAAGTTAAATAGATAATTTCACATATTCAAAAGAGTAATTATTTTACTAATATTCAAATTATACCTTTTAATTTATAATATTAGACGGTATTTTTTCA